AGATGGGTTCCCTACGGGGGCCCAAATCCCCAAAATGTTTTTCAGGTAATAGTATTTTTTTAAATAAATAAAAATTTTAAATTATAAATAATGTTTTAAATATGTTTTGATATATATAATATAAATAATATAATAGTATATTTATATTAGTATATTTAATATATTAAATATATATTTAATAATATACCTCAATCCCCATCCCGACCACGACCTCGACTGGGGATTCCTATTAATCCACATCCCCGACCCACCTCACCAAAACAATCCCCATCCCCAACCCCATCAGGTCGGGGAAGTCGGGTCCTCATTGGGGATGGGGAAAATTGTCATCCTTAAAAGTGTGTTCTAATAAATGACCCTAATAGAAACACATAAGAGTATACAATTGTTTTATATTTTCAACTTTTAAATAATTAATAATTATTCATATTTTACATAATACATTTAATAAAATTTTTATAATACAAAAATAACAATAATTAATTTCAGTTAGATTTATTAATCAAACTGATGAAACCGACCAACATGATTAACTCGATCCGAGTTGGTCGATTTTCTAGTATTTTAGGTTGGATTTGGTTCAAAAATTTTCCAATTCAACCAAATTGGAACAATTTCACTTTGGTCATTTGTAAACTAACCAAAATCGAATGACCTAACCATGGATATATATTAATATTTTATATTTTAAATATAATTTTTAATATGGAAAAGTGGGAATTTTCCCATATTTATTAGTCTAAAATATTTTATATCGTAAATCTAATTTTTAAATTTATTATTTAATAATTGCACTATTATTTTTAAAATTAAATTAAATTTTTAATTTTAAATCTTTTGAACAGACTGACCAAACCAAAAAGTTGACCTAAACCGATATATGAACACTCATAATTTCAGGTAAACTAATTTTCTTACCTCTGATAAATAGCAATAGTTTAATTTCCAATAATTATTGAAAATTTAAAGCAAAACTACACAATTATTGAAAATATATTGATAATAAAAAATACAATAATTACAGAAATTACAAAAAATACAATAGGTACTAAAAATATATAACTTTGTCAATAAATAGTATAATCTCAAATAATAGTTTAATCTCTTCTAAATATTAATTGATAACTTATAACAAAAATACAATAAATTAAATTTAAAATTTTCAATAATAGTAATTTAATATCCAATAATTATTGAAAGTTTTATATTAAATAACAAAACAAAATAAATTTATACATAATTATTGAAAATACATTTTTCACAAAAGACAATAAATATTAATTTTAATATATATAATTATATAATAAATACAAATTAAGGGTTTAAAATTATTATTAATAAATATAATTTTTTTGAAAGTTATTTTCTCAAATTATTACTTGATATAAGTGAAATTAATTATTTAAAATATTATGTAAAAGTATTAAATTATTATTAATTTCAATATTATGTTATAATTATTTTTCTACTTTTTAGATTTTTTTAAATTTATTACATAATTTCTTTATTTTAACTATTTAAAATCTAGTTATGTTAAATATTTTTTTATTTAAAATATTTAGTTATTTAAATTCTGAAATAATATGTAAAATATTTAAATTTTAAGTATTAATTATTTATTGAATTTAGTTATCCATAAAATCATAATCTAAACTATTATTACATAATTTCATTATTAATTTTGTAATATATTAATTTATTATTAATTTGAATATTATGTTATAAGTATTTTCTACTTTGAAGAAATTTTTTAAATTTATTACATAATTTCGTTATTTTAACTATTTAAAATCTAGTTATGATAAATATTTAAATAATGTACAAAATATTTAAATTTTTTTATTATTTAAAGCTATTACATATTATTAAATATTTAAAAAACATTTAAATTGATAATCTGGAAAACATAATTTAAATTGTTAGTACATTATTTCATGATATATTTTGTAAAAAGATAAAATTATTTTTGTGTTTTTAATACATATTTTAAAGTTATTATATAATTTTGTTAGAATATTTAAATAATTGTTAAATTTTTTAGTCCAAACTTTGTTTAGATAGATATAGATAAAAAGTAGGGGAGAGGATAAATAAGAATTAGAGATAATTTAGGAGAGAAACTCTCTACTAAATTAGAGATAAATAGGAATTAAAGATAATTTAGAAGATAAATAGGAATTAGAGATAATTTAGAAGATAAATGGGAATTAGAGATAATTTTGGAGAAAGTGGGGGATAGTGGGGGGGGTAGTTTAGGAATAATTTTAGGAGAAGAGATTATTTAGGTTATTGGGAAAGTGAATCTCATTGGTTGTTTAAAAAATGACATAGAATTAAAAATAAATAAAAAATTCAAAAAAAGGAGAAAATTTCTAGACTTCCTTGTTTTAATATATATATATATATATATATATATATATATATAGATTACATAATTTTATTATTAATTTTATAATATATTAAATTATTAATAATTTGAATTATATGTTATAATTATTTTTCTACTTTGAAGAATTTTTTTTAAATTTATTACATAATTTCGTTATTTTAACTATTTAAAATCTAGTTACGATTTAAATAATCTATAAAATATTTAAAATTTTTTGTTATTTTAATTTTATTTATTTAAAACTATTATATATTATTAAATATTTGAAAAACATTTAAATTGATAATCCGAAAAAAGCATAATTTAAGTTGTTAGTACATAATTTCGTGATATATTTTGTAAAATATAATCTTATGTGTTTTTAATAAATATTTTAAAGTTATTATATAATTTTGTTAGAATATTTAAATAATTCACATTTTTTTAATCCAAACTTTCTTTAGATAGATATAGATAAGTAGGGGAGATGATAAACAGGAATTAGAGATAATTTAGGAGATAAACTCCCTACTAAATTATAAATAATTTTGGAGACAAATAGGAATTAGAGATAATTTAAAAGATAAATAGGAATTAGAGATAATTTTGGAGAAAGTGAGGGATAGTGGGGGAGGTGGTTTAGGAGAAATTTTAGGAGAAGAGATTATTTAGTTTATTGGGAAAGTGCATTTCATTGATTGTTTCAAAAATGACATGGAATTAAAAAAAATGAAAAATTCAAAAGGAGAAAATAGATAAATAGCTTCTCTCAAACGAGAGACATGCCGACATGGACGAACCATTTTTAATATATATATATATATATATATATATATATATATATATATATATGTATATATATTATTGCTTGGGATGCACTACATGTGGTAAATTTGAATGAGTTTATTGTTTAAGTTAGGAATTAAATCAGGTTTAACATGTAACTAAGGTGCTATTTGATAACACTTTTTAGATGTCTGAATCTGAAATATGATCCAAAAAGTTTTTTTTCAAATCTGAAATTTTAAGACTCAGGCCCGTCACTTAACCTGTTCAGACGCATTTCAGACATGGCCTAAAGTCAAAAGTGCCCCTACCCCATTCTCTCTCTCTCTCTCTCTCCCTTGTCTTCCCGCTACCACCGGTGCAACTTGCAAAGGCGACGCTTCTCTCTCTCAAGAGGGTGAGAAATAATAATAATAATAATAATAAATAAATAAAATAAATAAAATAATAATAATTATTATTATTATTTTAATATTTTTATTAAACATTAATTGTTTTATTTGTGTTATTTATTAATTATTTTTATTAACTAGTAATTTTAATTATTTCATTAATTTTTAAAAATTATTTTAATTTTTATTTATGTAAATTATTAAATATTAATTATTAATTATTTTAATATTTTTATAGTCATTAATTATTTTTTTAATTTTAACTGTCTCATTTATTAATTAATAATTTTTAATTATTAACTTAATATTTTTTATTTGTATTTTTTCAATATTATTTTGAAGTTGAAAATTATTTTTTATGAGATAATGTGAATTGAACACAACATTTCCAAATAGTATGTTTTAGGAGTAAAATAGTAAAATCAGTGAATTCCAAATGGTTAAGGGTTGATCCAACACAAACAAACTTATGGATTTAGAGCCTCTAAAAAGTAGAAAAGCACCTATGCTTTTTTCAGATTTTAGATACAAATAATATCTTTTTAACTTTTTAGATTTCATATTTCAGATTTATCAAATGCCACCTAAAGGTCTATTTTATTTAAAAGATCTAGACCCGTATTAATTAATTAACATATTAAAAGTCTTCATATTTGAGTTAGTATATTAAATTAGAAAGGTTTGATATTTATTAATTTGGGCCTCACACCATTGGAAATGAATACCTTTTTTAGGGAGTGGGAGTAAATACCTTACCTATTTTGAGGGTAGAGGTAACCATGTCCTCCAATAAAATTGACATTAGAGTGGATATTTGTTTTGAGAAGAGAGGTGACCATATGTCTCATGAAAAAATCAAGCTAGTCTAAGGGCTATAACACCCCTCAAGTGATTTTTGATATATATTGGTTGATTGCTTATTACTTTTGTAAAACCAATTGATTGAGTTTGTTTTTTATATATCATACATTTGTTTTTTTATATATCATACGTTTGTAAAACCAATTGAATTGGACCAATTTGGACTGGTCCAATTCAATGTCTGGAACATCCAATTTGTTCAAGTTCATTTTGATTTAGATTGGTTTCAACCCAAACCCGGTCTATTGACACATATAATTTTATCTTATATCAATGGACCAGATATTGGCTTAATCCAACCCATTCCAATATAAATTTGTTACGAACGGACCAGCTCCAATCCAATCTAATAAATATTTTGGACCGGATCGGTCTAATCCAATAGGTCTTGTTGGTCCATCCAACAAGATGCATTTAATATAAAACTACTCCAAAAATTGTTCAAATTGTGTGTCTAATAGGTTCTTATCCTTAATAGACGTTAATAGATAAGTGAAATAACAAAAATACCTATCAGGTGTCGTCTAATTTTCTTTATCTACCACTTCCGCATAAACCAGTTCAAGAGCTGAGCAACTTGAAATGGTAGCACTTTAGATGTAGCGACTATGGTGGAGAATTGTTGCATTCATTAATGCTTGAGTTCCTACAGTCTTCTTTTGCAATGGAATGCACAAAATTGCATTGATTCCTACAAACCAAATGAGTTGTTCTGTGGATGACGAAAGTATGTAAACCTTCTCTCCGGATTTCTCAATTGAGTTTACTAAATTCTCATATTTCTTCCTCATCTTCACATGCTTGGTCCCGTAAGAGACCTTACCCGAATCATCGTTTAAAAGCAATTCCATGATATTCTTGAGGGTTGAAATGTCCTTGGCTGCCTTGGCATCTCTTACCAGAAACATGGTGGTTGAATCACTTAATGTGGTGTTAACAACAAATATATGTAATTTGTTATCGACGATTTGTCTCAACCGCATCCTCTCCGCTTCAAAGATGAGGTATCGTTGAAATTGATCCTTGATAGAACATGTGCTTCTGATCACCACGCAATGAATACTATTGAAATCAATATGCTTTACAAAACAAGAAGAAACTTCCTCGAAGAAGTCCTTCAAACCCATCTTACCTCTATTGGAACCACTCCCTCCACCCTTGCATGAACCCATTGGATTTGGATTTTGATCCCCAGCTTCAATCCAAGCACAAAGCATATTTGTAGCCTTCCCCCCACCAAGAAAACATGAGTGATCTCTTCTTGCATCAAAACCACTGCTAATTCAGCATCAACACCACGATTGCATTTCTCTACCAATGCATCTAAAGCCTCCTTATCCCAAGCTTTCTTCATTATCTCCAGAGGCTTACGTGGCTCAATTTGCAATGTGTGAAACACACCAGTTGAGACAAATTCTTGGTCATGGTCTTACCATGTACTTGCTACACTGAGTTGTGTTGATCGTATTCAAGGCTAACTACTTTGACATTGAACCTCATCTTTACCCTTATAGTATCCTTTCAGACAGAAGCCTTTTTAGAACAGTGCACCTGTTTGAAGAGACATAGAAAGGAAGAGATATAAACGAAACCGGTCGTGGCCAAAGTGGTATATCTGCCAATAAGTTCCTTAGCCACTCTGCCTCGGACCCCGCCAATTCTAATACAATGAATCTGGCCTCCATTGTTGAGCTGGTATTACATGACTTCTTTACTGATTTCCATGATACTACTCCTCCACCTAGGGTAATAACATATCCACTGGTGGAAGTACTATCCTTTGAATCTGAAATTCAATTTGTATCAGTAAAGCCTTCTAAAATAGGAGGAAAACCTGAGTAGTGTAAACCAAAATTTATAGTTCCTTTTAAATATTTTAACAACCTTACTAGAGCTTCTCAATGTTCATTTCTAGAATTATGAGTAAGCTCACTTAATTTTCCCACAACTATAGCTATATTTGGTCTTGTGCAATTCATTAAATAAGACACTGATCCAATTATACTTGCATACTCCTTTTGTAAAACAGGTTTTCCTACATGTTTCCGTAAGTGAATATTACAGTCAAGAGGTGTTTTAACAGGTTTGCAGTCATAGTGTCCAAATTTTCTAAGAATACTCTCTACATAGTGCGATTAAGAGATAATAAAGTTTCCTTGTTGTTTATGGATTTTAATCCCCGAGATTACATTAGCCTCACCCAAGTCTTCAGCATCAAATTTGGACATTAGAAATTGTTTTGTTTCTTTTGCTACATCCAAACTTGTTCCCATTATTAGCAGATCATGACTACTTTATCATCTACAAACTTATTATAAACGCATCTACCAAAATCATTCCTGTTATATCCATTAGTTACTAACACATTATCAAAATTTTCATGCCATTATTTGGGAGCTTGTTTTAAGTCATATAGAGACTTAATTAATTTGCATACTTTATTTTCTTGTCCTGGCATCATGAAGCCTTTAGGTTGCTCAATATATATTTCTTCCTCTAATTCCCCATTTAAGAAAGTTGTTTTTACACCCATTTAATGAACTACTAGTTTGTAAAAGGATGTTATAGCAAATAAGACTTTAATTGTAGTTAACCTTGCAACTGGGGAGTAAGTGTCAAAGAAATCTACATATTTCTTTTGTCTGAAACCTTTAGCAAATAGTCTGGCTTTGAATATATCTATTGTACCATATGGCTTTAGTTTTTTCTTAAAAATCCATTTACAATTCAGTGCCTTAGTACCAGAAGGGAGATTTACAAGTTTCTAAGTGTGATTAGTGACTAAAGAGTTCACTTTTTATGGCTTCTTTCCAAAATACTATATTAGGTGAGGTTATGGCTTCTTGATAGGTTACTATGTCCTTGTCCACCAGAAATGTGAACATTCCATCACCCGAGTTTGTTTCTCCCCTTTGCCTTTACTTCTCCTTAAGTCTGGTTCTTGATTCCTAAAGTCGATGTTGTCTTGATTAAGTGAAGTACTGATTCCTTGAGCATTTAATTATTCTTGGTTTCTGTTTTGGATTTGGAAGGGTTCCTTATTTATTGTTTCTTTTCTCTATGGAAAAATGTGTTCAAAGAATTATGCATCTCGGGACTCAATTATTGTGTCGTTCTCTACAACATTATCAATTGTTTTAATTACAAAGAATCAATAAGCCGCACTATTTTGTATGTATCCAATAAACACGTAGTCACAGGTTTTCGGTCCCAATTTCTTTTTTTTTTTTAGGTTTAGGTATTCCAACCTTTGCTAAGTAGCCCCAAACTTTTAAGTAGTTCAAACTATGTTTCTTGTTATGCCATAATTCAAAAGGTATTTGTCCTTCCTTCTTGGGTGCTATTCTATTATATAAATGACAAGCCATTAGAATTTCTTCCCCCCACAAGGTTAGAGGTGCACATGAACTAATTAGCATAGCATTCATCATTTCTTTTAATGTTCTGTAACGTCTTTCTACAACTCCATTAAACTCAGGTTGATAAGGGTCTATGGTTTCATGTATGTTCCATTTTCTTCAAAGAGTATCCTAATGGTTTCTTCATCATATTCAGTCCCTCTATCTGTTCTTTCTTAACTAATTTTCTACTTCAGTCTTGTAGTTTATAAAAGCTTGTTCAACTTTATCTTTTGATCTAAGTAGGACTAATTTTACATATCTAGAAAAGTCATCTGTAAAGGTTATATTATATCTTTTTCCTCCTATAGCTTCATGATACCTAAGGTCTCTTAGATCACTGTATATAATTGTTATAATTTAGTTTCTCTCTATACACATTTATAAGGTTTCTTAGTGAAATTTTCTTTTATACATACTTGGCATTTTTTATTTGTAAAATTAATAGGAACATTCAAAACTCCTAATTTATATAACCGTTTTAAATAAGGAGCGCTACAATGTTCTAATCTATCATGTCAAATATCAAATGATTCAACAATAAAAACAGAAGAAGAAGCAATCTTATTCACAATAATATCAGAAATGTTCAGTACAAATAGTCCACCATCATTGTATCATTTTCCAATAAATAAATTATTTTTAGTTAACACAACATTGTCTACTTCAAATGTGAGCTTCAATCCTACTTTGTGTAGGAGTGCTCTCGATACCAAATTTCGTCTGATCCCTGGCACATGCAGCACATCATTCAGCATTATGATTTTTTCTAAAGTCAATTTTAGGAACACATTTCCCTTGCCGATAATGTTCGAAGTTTGTGAGTTTCCCATGAAGACTTGTTCTCCCTTAGACTGAGTTGTGTACTCATAGGAGTTGCGGTCCCCACATATGTGATTAGTAGCACTAGTGTCCAATACACACTCCTTCGGCTTATCAACTAAGTTTGCCTCAGTTACAATGGCTGCAATAACATCCTCAATCAAATTGACTTCCGATTTCCTAGAGTCTTTCTTCTTTCGGTACTGACAGTCTTTCTTGTAATGCTCGGGTTTGTCACATACATAGCATTTTCCTTTCTTTTATTGCTTCTTGAATTTTTTTATCATTTTTCACATTCAAATTCTTTTTGAATTTTGTAGTCGTTTCCTCAACCAGATTGGTTTTGGAAATTTGATCATCATCTTTCTTTCTGTTCTTTTCTTTTATTTTAATTCGGACCACTACTTAATCTAAAGTAGTGTCCTTCCTTTTATGCTTCATACTTGTCTTAAAATCATTTCATGTATGTGGCAATTTCTTCATGAGAGAACAGGTAATGAATTCATCAGGCAGTATTATGCCTTCCTTTGCTATTTCCCCCACAAGCACTCGAAACTCATCTATTTGGGCAAACACATCCATGTCTTCTTTCATGGTGAAATGTAGGAAATTGGCAATTACATATTTTTTTATTTCTAGAGCATACTTTTTGTCCAATGCATTCCAAATTTCATAGGCAAAACTGTAGGAAGAATAGACATTGTACAATTCATTGGATAAGCAGTTGAGGATATGGTTTGTGTAGAGGTGGTGGGCCATAGTCCAATGTTCTGCAACAACAGAACAGGCTAGTTCCTCCATGTTTAATGTGTTTGGTTCATTTAGAGCAAATGTTACCCCTAATTGTTCTAAGGCAAATAGAAGGCGTTGTATCCAATGCTTGTAGTTGGTTCCATTGAAAGGTTCAATTTTAGAGAAATCAAAAATTGTTGATAGTATCCGATTCCTTATGAAAGGATTAGCAGAGGTAGGTTCCATAAATGTAGCTTTAAGATTGTTGGAAAACAGTAAAGAAGGCATAATGAAACTTATCAGTAATCGCTTTCCAAATCGAGAATCTTTGAATTTGTAGCGTTGCAGAACTGTGAAATCAAGAACTTGTAGAGAGAAGGAGGGCTAAGTCATGCCACTCGATCACTCTCCTTAAAACCACATTTTCCCCCTACAGTGTAGCTAGGTGATTGCAAATCGGTTGCCAAGATAAAACAGCCCACAAGCCACTGGTAGGCATGCACTTGCTTACCAAACCTCCGTAAACCACAAAGAATGATGCTCAGATGGATGCTTAGAGAAGAACAATTGACAAAGAAGACTATGCACTAGTGTGTGATTCTAGGTCGACCAACACTCCTTTTATAGAATGTTCTTAATCATTCAAATGGACACAAAAGTGTCCTTTCAAACATAAGCCTCTTTAGAACAATGCATCTATTCGAAGAGACACAGAGAGGTAGAGACACAAACGGACCAAAAAATGTTTTAAAAAATAAATTTGAAATTTAAAAATAAAAAATTTAATCCAATTAAAAATATAACTGGTTTGGTGTAGCACCCACGTCCCAACCCGACTCGACTCGGCACGTGCGTATGAAAAGCACTCCCAAACCTCCCCTCACATGTATGGGAATATCTGTAGTGCTTTCCTCCTATGAGTCCCTACCCATAGAGAGAGCAAAACTATAAATACACTCCACCTCTACTCTTTTCCCAATTAATGTAGGACAAGGAGTCTTCCATGCATTCAAGAGAGGGAAGAGGAAAAAACATAACTCAAAAGTACAAGGGAGAGAGGAGAAGTTCTTGAAATTTTGAATCTCCCTCCAATAGGATTATCGCCACTGTACTAGACCCACTTCCATCCAGAGATTTTTTAACGAGCTTCATTGTAGTAGAGGAAGCCTTGAGCCTTGAATAGTATAATTCTTCATCCGGTTCCAGTTGATCGTCTGATTATAGTTGATCGTTGAATTGGGGAGCTTGAACAAGGGAGCGGGAGC